GCTTCGGACTCCGATATCTTTGACTGTGTTGCGCAGGCGGTCGAGCCCTTCCATATCCTTCGCAACACCCTTAGTGCTTGGATTTCGGAGCTCCCCATGGGAAACCTTGCGGATTGGGCGGCCGATGTTCTGTTGTGCCTGCAGGTCGATTTACTGTGCGACTCTGCCTCTCGGGCCAGGCGCACGGAGGCTCGTGTTGACTTCGCGCCGTTTCTACGGGAATTCCCGGTCAGGGCTGTTTGGGCTGCCCTCCCATTCCTCACTGACGATGATGCATGGCATGATTCTTCTGCCTTCATGTCGGGAGACCGGCCCAGGTCAGCGCGGGCCACCTTCTGGGAAGCTCCTCCTGCAGAGCATGCCTTCGCGGGTCTCCTTTTGAGTGTTCCGGCACCCTGCCTTGACTTGTCGACAGCGTGGGTGCCTACTTCCTGCACTCTTCGGGCACTCAGAAGTCACGCCCGGTGGTTGAACCTACTTTTCGCATGGCTGGGTTTTGCCATTTCACTCGCTGAATTGGGGCGCCCATGCTTTCTGCGTTTCTCTGGCACCAAGAGCTCGCTGGACCCTCTCGCCGATTGGCTTAACATAGGCTCGTCGTCGCTGAGGAGGTCCGCGCTCGTGCTTAGTTTCACGGTTTGAATTCATTTGCTTGAGGTACGTTCGCGACGGACTTCGCACCTTCGGAATAAATAATACTATTTTGGCGATTCCTTATTATACTTATAGTATGTATTTGAAACCCGGTTCTAAGTACTAAGCCCCCTATATTAGCCCCTGAACCCCACCCTTTCCAGACTAAACTGCGAGCCCTCGCCCCCTAAACTCTAAGCCCTTGCTTCAAGGTTCATGCTTAGTAACTAGGGTTATAGATATAAGGCAACTATACCTTTAACTTTAACTAAATAGAACCCCCGTTAAGGTACTTTAAAGTGTGTTTACGAAGTTGCATGAACCTCCAAATACACTTATAGAATCCTTATAGTATCAGTATAAAAATCTTATAACCCCCCTTAAAGATGCCTCCTAAACCCTAACCCTAAGGGTGAATGTACCCAAATAGTATATACATTGGCCCTAAAGTACATATATAGGGACTACATTCATGCCAAAGTATATACTATTCGGGTACATGGACCCTTAAACCCTATAGAACCCTTAAACGACCCCTTAGGGGACCCCTTACAGGAACCCTTTTGGGCACATGGACCCTTAGGGTAAACCCTTAAAGATCTCTTTAAGGAGTCCTTTATGTTACTATGTCCCATGAACCTCCAAGTTTTCGGCTCAGGCATCAACGGCGTACCCTAAACGCTAAACCCTAAACCTTAAACCCTAAACCCCTAAACCCTAAACCGCGGTTGAGGGCTTACTGTTCAGGGCCCTCCATGGATTCAGGCTTAGGGTTTAGGGAGGGTTTAGGGTTTAGTCTAGGACGTTTTCGGGTAGTTAGTTACCGTTATAGGAGCCTTATAGAAGGTCTATAGACCTTCTAGAATCCTTATAGAAGCCCTATATACCCTAAACTCCCCACCTGTAGTTTCCTTAGCCCTAAACCCTAAACCCTAAACCCCTAAACCCTAGAGGATCCCTTAAAGGCACCCTAAACTCCCCACCTGTAGTTTTCTTTAATTTAGGGTTTAGGTTTGGAGCTTCTGAGGTTTCTAAGCGTTGAGGATCTCACTGTAGACTTGATTTCTTTGTTTAAGGAACCACATAGAGAAATTATAATACAGGGCCCTAAACCCTAAACCCTGAACCCTAAACCCTGAAAAATGCAGGTCTCTTCGGCTAGAGGTTGGGATTAGGGTTGGGGGATGATTTGTGAAGGGTGAAGCCCTGAACTATCCCACAGGCTCCATGTACCTATATACTAGATACTTAGGCCTTAAAGGGGTCCCTATACAGGCACTTGAAGGCCTAAGTATATACTATATGGGCACATGGAGCCTTAGGGTATGTCGATTTGGCTTCCTGCAGTGGTTTCGAAACTTATGTCGATTACGCTGGATGTCGGGCTGCTCAGCGGCAAGACAGCTACTGTGACCGTAGGTTTGGATGAGGATGTGAAAACATTGAAACACCGAGCAGAGACCGCGCTTGGACTTGGAGCTAGAACGGGGCGGCTGCTGGACACATCTGGAAGAGTTCTAGACTCGTGTGAGCCAATCAAGAGCGCCCGGCTTCAGAATGGTGATTCGTTGACTTTGCACATAGGCCGAGTTCAAATATGTGCCAACCATGATTGCGCTTTTGCTGCCATCCTTGGCGACGGATCTGTCGTCACCTGGGGTTATCCTGACGGTGGTGGTGACAGTGATGATGTGCAAGATCGGCTGCAGCGTGTGCAGCAGATCCAAGCCAACGACGACGCTTTTGCTGCCATTTTGGACGATGGAGCCGTTGTGACCTGGGGTGATGCTGAGGATGGCGGTGATAGTAGTGCCGTGCAGGATCAGCTGAAGAATGTGCAGCAGATACAAGCCACTGATGCCGCTTTTGCTGCCATTCTTGACGATGGTTCCGTCGTGACATGGGGACGTTCTGACTTGGGTGGTGACAGTAGTGCGGTGCAGGATCAGCTGAAGAATGTCCAACAGATCCAAGCCTCTCCCGCCGCTTTTGCTGCCATTCGCTGCGATGGATCTGTCGTGGCATGGGGTCATGAGCAGCTTGGTGGTTACAGCGGTGTTGTGCAGGAGCAGCTGAGGAATGTCCAGCAGATCCAAGCCACTCACCACTCTTTTGCTGCCATACTTTCTGATGGCTCTGTCGTTACCTGGGGTCATGATGACCATGGTGGCCACAGTAACGACGTGCAGGATCAGCTGAAGAATGTGCAGCAGATCCAAGCCACTAGCGGTGCTTTTGCTGCCATCCTTGGCGACGGATCTGTCGTCACTTGGGGCTATCCTTACGGTGGTGGTGACAGTAGAGATGTGCAGGATCAGCTGACGAATGTGCAGCAGATCCAGGCCTCTAAATGGGCTTTTGCGGCCATTCTGCGCGATGGCTCCGTCGTGGCCTGGGGCGGTGCAAGCTATGGCGGGAACAGCGGTGCTGTGCAGGATGGGCTGAAGAATGTGCAGCAGATCCAAGCCACTCGCCACGCTTTTGCTGCCATTCTTGGCGACGGGTCCGTTGTGACCTGGGGTGATGCTGACAAGGGTGGTGACAGTAGTGCGATGCAGGATCAGTTGAAGAATGTGCAGCACATCCAAGCCACCGAACAAGCTTTCGCTGCTATTCTCGGCGATGGATCGGTCGTGACCTGGGGTAGTGCCGACCACGGTGGTGACAGTAGAGGTGTGCAAGATCAGCTAAGGAATGTGGAGCAGATCCAGGCCAATGACTGCGCTTTTTCTGCCAATCTCTTAGATGGCCTCGTCATTAGCTGGGGTCGGGCTGCATTTGGTGGTGACAGTAGTGCTGTGTGGGATCAGCGGAAGATCGTTTAGCAGATCTGCTTGTGCCGACTTCATACTCTTAGCTGCGGACAGATGAACGCAAGCACCCGCAAAGACATGGAAATGAAGCACTGGCGAGCGGCTGGAACATATTCTGTGCAGAGGTACAAACCAAGCCCCCTGGAATGCTACAGCCCTACTTGAAGGATCATGGGACTTAGTAGGTACAGCTACAAGTATCTTATTAACTGGATCATGAATAATAAAGAAAAGTATCTTAACTGGACTATGAATAGATATATGCGGTTACTTGAACTAGACTTCATAACGAGCTACTAAGTCCCATGACCCTTTGAGTAGACCCTCCTCCCTAAACCCTACCCTTAAAAACCCTATTTAAGAACACTTGTTTGTTCCCTTAAAACGAACCGTAGTTACTAAGTCCCATGAACCCTAAACTCTAAACCCTAAACGGGTACCCTGGGGCAGTTGGACCGTTCGTTGCTGGACTCTAAAACGGTTTAGGGTTTAGGGTACTAAAGCGTACAGAGAACAGCCGTGGGCTTTGGATTTGGGGCTTAAGGTTTCGGGCATACGGGTTCGAGGATTCTTTGTTGAACAAAAGCATGCAATGGGTTTTGAAGTACCTATGTTCGAGGGGTCAAGCAACAACACGGTTTCTGAATTCTGAGCTTCCTGCTTTCAAGTCGCAGGCGAGGAATGCCTTATGCCATCAACCCTACAACCCTTGCGGCCCTAAACCCTTAAATCGGTAAGCCTTGTTTTGCGAGGGTTTCTAGGGGTCCGCATTTACGTTCTTCTGTTTGGCAAGCACCCAGAGGTCCCCACACCCTGCAATTGAGCAATATGCTTCAAATGGGTAGTTGTCAAAATTATGGTCCCTTTTGGGGTACCCTAAATAATAGGTGCCGTATTATAATAAGGACCCAAAAAGGGACCATAATTTTGACAACTACCCAAATGGTTTAGGGTTTAGGGTTTGGGGCTTAGTCTTAATAAGAGCTTAACGTAATATGGGTGCCTAATTAATTAATTATCCCATTTTGCGGGGTCCTGGTTATAGTTATAGTATGGCATACCCCGAAACCCTATTATAAGTATTCAGGCCCCTATATTAAATTCCTAAATTTAGGGGTTGGAACCGAGGCCCTAAACAACCCTAAACCTCCGTAATTACCCCTAAACCCTAAACCCTAAACCCTAAACCCTAAACCCTAAACCCTAAACCCAAACCCCTAAGCTCAGGATGTGTTGGCGTTAGGCTTCGGGTATTTTCGGTTCAGGGCTTACCGCGTTTAGGGTTAAGGGGTTTAGGGTTTAGAGTTTTTGGGTTTAGGTTTTAAGGGTTTAGGATTTAGGGTTTTGGATTTACGTTTCAAGGATGTAGGGTTTAGGGTTTAGAGTTTGGGGCTTAGGTTTGAAGGGTTTAGGATTTAGAGTTTAGGGTTTAGGAGTCAGGGTTTAGGGTTAGGGCTTGAGCCCATCTCTCCGCGAACTCGAATCGCTGCAACCTAAACCCGAACCCGAGAAGGCCAAACACTCTGAACCGCTGGACCCTGACTTGAATTTAAGGTTCATCGCTGTTCATGGCGCAGCAGACAACGGAGCAATTGCTTCTGCCAGGCTACTACTGGAGGTGGGAAGATGACACCAAACCCCAAACCCAAGTGGGGTTCGGGTCTAAGGGTTTTAGGGTGCCTTTAAGGCTTACTATACGGGTGTCTAGGGCTCTTTCCAAAAATGCTGAAAGGGTGTAGGCTTCACCGGTGGATCCGAAAACCTGTTGTGTTATATGTTATGCACTTAAGTAAGGCAGTCAAAACCTACTATTTTTGTAGGGTTTGGGGCTGGAGGCAATCCCTGAAACGCCCCATACAGCCCTTACAGCCCCATAAAGCCCTTTAAAGCCTTATAAGACCCTGAACCCTAAAACCTAAACCCCTGAACCGTATAGCCATATAGCGCTTCAAACCTTCATAGCAGCCCCATGAAGCCCCACAAAACCCTGAACCGTACATAGAGACGTCTGTGTTTCTGGTGTAGGTGTCCTGTTTAGGGGTTTGGGGGTATTTTGGGTTTGTCGAAGGTCACGAATGTGGGTTTTAGGGTTTACCTGAAGCCTTAAGAACCTTCCTGTTTAGGGCTCTCCTTATTATGATGTCCTTATCTAAGTCCTCAAAAAGGTAGGTTCTTCGTGGTTTAGGTAGGGTTTAGGGTTCGGGAGACGAAGTGAACGGTTCAGGTTTGCGGATTCGGCGGTTCTTGGTTCTGGGCTCAAGATTTGGAGCGGCTTAGGGTCTAATGAGTCTAAACCCTAACCCTAAACCCTACATCCCTAAAACCCCTAGAAACCCTAACCCCTAAAGCCTGAACCCCTAAACCCCTACCCCTAAACCCCTAACCCCTAAACCCCTAAACCCCTAAACCCCTAAACCCTAAACCCTAAATCTTAAATCCTCAACCCAACCGACTAAATCGAATGAACACCACGCCCTGAACCCTAAACCCCTCAACCCGACAAACAAGAAAGCTCAAAGCTCCAAATCTCTAAAGCCTCCCTGCGACCCCAAACCTTTATGACCCGTTAATATTACAGAGAAGAACTACCCCTTAAACAAGATATGTTTTGGGATGCCCCCGGTAAACCCCTAAACCCCCGAACCCGAAACCCTTTCAAGGAACCTTTATAGAAGCCCTTAAACCCTAAACCCTAAACCCTAACCCCAAGGGAACTCCTTGTAGAGCCCTTTAAAGGAGCCCTAAAGCCCTCAGCTCTTCAAGCGAACGCGACACGAACAAATATCCGGGTCCTGGTTCTCTGAACTCTCGCCCTCCCCTCACTTGGAGGTTCAGGGGACTTAGGGTTTAGGGTCTCGGGTTCAGGGTTTCGGGTTCAGGGTTTAGGGTTTAGGGTTTAGGGTTTATGGAACCCCGCCCAAAGCTCATCCGACGGCACCGCCTGCTGCCACCGACAGCGCCGACAGCAGCATCGAAAGCCACGGAGGCGCCGATCGACTTGGCTTTGCTGGCCACTGGCTCTGCGGGCACTTAGGGTTTAGGGTTTCGGGTTTCGGGTTTAGGGTTTAGGGGCTTAGGATTTTGTAGGGGATCACAAATCCTTCCTTCAGCGCCTAAGCATTAGAAAATCCTAAGCCCCTAAACCCTAAACCCGAAACCCGAAACCCTAAACCCTAAGTGCCCGCAGAGCCAGTGGCCA